CCTGTAGCATCAGAGAAATGTGCAGTCAGAAGAGGGGTTCAGTCTAGGCCAAGTTTGGACAGAAGCCCAGTAGCCAATGACCAGCCTGTGTGAGCAGGAGCGAGAGGAAGTGCTGGACAGACTGCACGGGAAGCCTGTTTGCACTTCCAGGACTGAATCTGGTGCAGAGCACTGCCATGGGCGTTGCATCAGCCGCATGCTGTGGAAAACCTGGTCCTGGGGCCACAGGCTGATTCTGGGATGAGAAGAACATGTAAACTGGGGCTTTGCTCCATGAACAGTAGGGATGACCAGTGTCTCTTCCTCTGCACACAGCTCTTCTGCCTCGTTCAAAGAGGTCAGGGCTTCTGGGTGCTCTTGGACTGGTCTCCTTGGCTTTGCTTCCCTTTAGTGCATCCAGGAGATGAGCTGTCCTTAGAAGTCCGTTGTTTACTCGGCCAAACGCCCTTAGCCCCGCACTGGATGTAAATAGCCTGAGCTGCAGCACTGCTTTCTGATGCCAGACTGCGCAGTGTTCGTAGTGAGATCACTTGCACGGCGGAGAGAATGAGTGGGTAGGATGCTCCAGTATTCCTAGAGCACTGGGCTCTTGGTTGGCTGGTTGTACGAATGCTGCAGTGAAGGCTGGGTGGCTAGAATAGGGCCCATGGATGGTGTCCCGTAGTGAACTTGTCCTGGATCAGGGCTGTGTCTTGACAGCAATGGTAGGCTGCATCAGCAGGCCCACAAGGCTCTGCTGGAGGCTTGGGACTGAAGACAGAGCAAACACGGTCAAACTGAGCAGGAAGAGGCTTAGCTCTACAGTACGCAGCCAGCGCTTGAGCCATTTCTGCAATTCCTGCGTGTATTCTGAGAGAGTAGCACTTGGCTGTAGGCTGGCACTCTTGGTGTAGAAATGGCCCAGCCTCAGCTCTGCTGCTGCCCCTTCTCATGAGTGTCGGAGGAATTAAGATGGTAGTGTTACTGAGTGATGATCCAGGAAAGTGGGCCCAGGCCACTGCCCTGCCCACTGCATCCAGCAGGAGACTCTCAGACGTGGTCTGGACATACTGGCTTGCTTTGCAGCATTTGCTAGCAGAGTGCTCTGGACACTGCCATGTAACTAAAATGGCCAGGAAATCATTGCAGACAGAACAGGAGGCTGAGTTAGACAGGCCAGGCCTTGGCTTTCAGGACTGGGTGAGTATCTTCCTCCTGCCTTCCCTAATGCTGCTTGTCTCTGTTCCTGCAGGTGAACGTTGGTTTGCTCGGAGTGAGCATGCTGGGATTCTGCCTGCCTCTCTATCTGATCTGCTATAAACGCAGGCTAGAGAGGGAGAGGGAGCAGAGGAATGATGATGCCAAGCTCTTCCTTAAAATTAACGGAACTCCAAATGAGGAAGCCTTTGTTTAAGCCGGTGCATCAAATGCAGCCTCCTTTTGCCATGTCTGCGGGGTGTAGACACCTCTGGCCCAACCATACTTTCTCCCCAGGCTCTGCCAGTCCTGCACAGCCTGGTCTTCACTGACCGTGATCAGACTGAGCATTTCTCCAACGCATGGCCAGAGGAGGCCTCCCACTTCTTGAGAACACAGGACAATTTCTGCTTTTATACAGGCTGCATTGATTGTTGCATCTTAAACTCTTCTTCCCTGGCCATGCCACTTCCCAACAGCAGGACCTGTGCATTGCAGGGAGCCAGAGAGGAGGAACCACGATGGCCATTTGTTGAAGTCTCAAACCCAGTGAGCTGCAGTCCGTCGTGCCGCCCCATTCTGACTGGCACTGTCTTGGCCGCAGAAATCCTGCATATTCCTCTCCTCCTTGAGGCTTGGTTGCAAGACTATTGTCCTTTGCTTGATATCCTTGTGCTGGACACACTGGTTCTGTCCCCTGTATCCCAGACCTTCCTGAGATGGGAAAGAGGATTTCCTGCCACCTTGCACAAGCAGGTGTTGGGTTTGTTGCTAAGTGGTGGCTGCTGCATTGAGAGAGAGGGGTGTGTGTGTGTGTGTGTGTGTGTGTGTGTGTGTGTGTGTGTGTGTGAGAGAGAGAGATAAAGGAGGCTGAGCCATGGGGGATGCTACCCATGCCAGGATGAAGGGCCTCTCTGGCTGTCCTGCCCCTTCTTCCACCTCTATAATCCTTCTCTGTGTGGTGACTACTTCCGGTCCTCAGCAGTTTAAGTGGGAACTGGGTCTTGCTGGCTCTGAAGTGTTTTTGAGACTTGTTTTGCCACCTCCTCCACTTACAGTGACTCTTGGGGAAGAGCAACAGCTACTACTAAGGGAGTAAAGCTGAAACACTTCTTGGGAGCTGGGCCCTGCCTTCCTGTTTACAGGTGCTGAGTTCTCTTGCTGCGGCTGAGAACAAACAGTGCTGAACTCTCGTTGCATGTGGTAACTGGATCCTGTGAGCACATGGCGGATGAACTGAGTAATGCAGTTCCACGAAATCTTGGCTCTGCTTCACATCTGTAGCCTCTTAACATTGTGTACTCCGAGACGGCCAGTAACCCCTCAGCTGCTGAGCACCAACTTAACTGCCAGTCACCAAACGGCTGCTCGCTGGCAGCAAGAAGAGCCTCGGGATGTTTGTGCACTGTCGGGCAGAGCGCGTGCAGATGACTTTGAAGAGCAATAAGCGTGGCTGGGTGCCCTGCGAGGTCAAGGCTGTGCTGTGGAGGGAGCAGAACGCAAAGGGAACTCTTGAGCTGCTGATCTCTTCCTATTCTGCACCTTCCCTGTGTCTCGTCCTTACCAGTTACTGCCCGCCCTGGCCCCCCAACCTTTAACCCCCTTGTCTGCAAATAAGGCTTGTGTGTGTGTGTGGGGCTCAAATATGGCCAGGCTGCCCGCTGTGGGCTGGGGGAGTCTGCACTGACCGTGGCACTGGTGACAAGTTGACACCAGAGCTCTTGCCAGCTAAGCCATGCTCTTGGTTGCGGAGACAAAAAACTTGTGACCCACCCGATGCTCATGGCAGACACAGATTGGTGCTTTGGGAACTGCCAGCATGCAGAGGGGTCCAGAGTTAGACACAAGGGCACGGTCCTTAAATGTACCCCTCCGAGTCAGGCACACTGCTGTTGTCAACCTACCAACTTCACCCCGGGCCTGAGAAACAGTGCATCTGACCGCTGCCTCGGAGGTGACCTCGGATGTAGGTATTCACAAAATGCATGCAGATTCCCTCACTACAGGCTTGATGCACATCAGGTGAGCAGCTCCGCCAGGCCCTTGCCATTTTTAATAGTTGTGCAGGCCCTTTCTAGCAGAGATCTCATCATGCTCTCGCACTGCCAGTGCAAAACGAGTAAGCCGCCTTGTAGAGCAGCAGCACCCTCTAGCGCTTCTGAACTGCAGACTTCCCGTCGTCGGTGCAGGACGCGGAACAGCTTCTCATTCCACATGCTTGTCTTGGAAGAGACTCTAACCACCGAGTATTTGACACATTGTCGTGGTGTGTGGGTTTTTACATGTTGCCTTTATCGATCTGTCACCATCCTGCTGTCCTGTGTTTTGATCCAGAAGTTTCACCTTCTTACAGGCAGAGAAGGTTCTTCGGGTAAAGCTGGTCCCTGTTATTAGACCAGCTTGGATAACTGCAAACGGTCTTCTGGGCAGGCTTTGGGGTACAAATACCCTTCGTCAGGCTGAGGAAGCATTTGCAGTTAGCCTGTGCTCTTCCTGCCTGGAACGAGTAGCAAAGCAGCCATTTTTCCAACTATTTAGTTGGTTTAATAAAAGTGATCAGATTTATCCACAGAACCGTGTCTGCCCGTGTCCTCAGACCAACCCGGCTCCAACCTATTCACCTTATTATAGTTTTCTGCAGTTCTTTTACTTCCCCCTTCAAGCAAACGCACCCGTGTTGAGCAACAGGGGCCGTGCAGCTCCGCGCGCCCCGTCTCCGTAGGGAGAGTTGCCCCAGCCCTGCCTGGACCAGCGCGCCAGCACGCGCCCACGGCCCCGCGGCGCCCTGCAGCCGTCTGCGTCCTGTGCTGCCTTGTGTTGCCGCGGCGCAGCGTCCCCTGCGCCACGCTGTCCGCCCTCCGCATCGGACGTGGCAGGCGAAGAGCCCG